TGACAAGCATCAAGACTCCATAATGTTCTATACACCATGTTTGAACAAAATCTAACCAAGGAATGTTTTATTGTACATTTTACAGAAAATCTGGTGAGAATGTGACCAAATGATACGTACCTCGTTTAGCAAGGACCTCAATGACAGCAGTTATCAAATCAAACCCATTTTCAGACTTCACATCCACTACAAGTACTTTAAATGCTGAAATGTAAATTATTATATTTTGAAATTATACAAAGAAATTCACAATGTGATTGAATTATGAGTGGTTGTTTATGCCAATGCTCGTTATATTATTAGTGCATTACTTACATAAAGAGACATATCATAGTTCAAACTAAGTCAAATATTTCAATGATTTAGTAAACAATAAATTTAATTATTGGTTTAAGTGTGTTTTACCGGTAATTATAAATATAATTCTAACCGAACAAATACAGTAGTGATTTGTTATTACAATGCACAATAAAAACATAAAATAATAAAAATAACTAACCATAGTCCATGTCACGACAAGCCTTTATTACTAATTCATTTTTCTTCTCCAACTTAACACCAGGTTCATCCAAGCATTTTGCACATTTCCCTAATTAAAATAGTTATATATATATAACAAATTAAAGTGAGGAATGTTTATAAAATAAATAATACATGTAACATAGAGATACATGCATATATTTATCTCTCTTTCTATCATATACAATAATATGAGGTTATTACGAGGATCACAAAGACAGCACAGAGGGAGTATTGACTGGCAAGCAGCGGAGGTCAATGCGATGGTGTACTGTCTGAGTGCATACTTTGAGGTATCCTCATAATAACCTTATTATTATTATTATTATTATACATTTTTCCCTTTCAAAGATACATACAGAAATCCCAAATGTTGAGAACAGAACTTGAACCTCTTTGTGTAGAATCTAGTCAAACCCTGGTGGCAGCCATGTTTGTTTATATTATTGAAGGACGCTTACGCGCATAATTATTCCATATTTGGAATTCGCATTTCCTAGGATGAAAATACCCTGTAAAATACCGCAAAATTACGACACGCTGTAACTTATGGCATTACAGCGAGATGTATAATAATAATAATCAATAAGAGCGTGATGTTATCACCTTGATGAGTACAAATCATGTTTGGGCACCACTAGCCCATGGTAATACAATGACCTGACAGTCGAAATAGATCCGCTGTCTAGGTGTCGAAAATAACATTTTTTAACAAAAATGACAAAAATATTCACTAAAAATCCAAATTTGCATATTTTGACACAAATTTAACAAATCTGAAAGAGGACCAACCCACGTATCCTTGCTGCAAATATGAAAGCAATTGGACTTACGGTTTATGACTAATTGTCAAAAATAACATTTTTACCAATAATGACAAAAATATTCACTAAAAATCCAAATTTGCTTCACTCCACGTGGGTCGGACGACGCCGAAGAGACACCCATACCAACAGCTCCGCTGGGTCATCTGCAATGACAGCGGAGCTAAAAATAAGGTGAGGCAAACATGTTCAACACAGGAATTGTATTGTAGTCTCCCTACCTTCAGCACACACACAAAGGTCACCAACACAGAGAGTATTTAGCAATGCGCTTCCTTCACCAGCATGATAGAACTTGGTGCATTGAGTATCTGAGAAAATAATATAAGATTAAAATTTAATGAATGTTTGAGTTTATATGTACACTGTAAATATTTCCATGACTGTCAATTAATGCTTCATTATCGAATACATATCATAAGTAAGGTCACTGGCATACTATGTGTTAGTACATGGTTAACTGTAAACTTGTGGTTTTGGTTTTTAAAGTAACAAAATCACAAATAATGCTTATGAAAAATCATAAATCCATCAACGTTTGGCTGACACAAATTATGTCTGTCAAAAAATGTTTGAGAAATGATTATAGACACATAAAATTAAAACCAACATGGATGCTAGTTGGAAATTTCAAATCAATTTAATCCCAAAACAAAACATATGCGTTTCTCATACTGAGTTTGAATAAAATTGACAAAACATGCTGTGATAGGGTCGCTAAAATATATACTTCCACATCAAAATAAACTTCATTTTTTTACACAAATTACCTAACTTTTATATATTTTTTTGAAAATGTTAGAAGAGTTATATATTTGTTGTAATACAGAAGCTGTACACCTGTCACAAGACTTTATTTATATGAATGGACTACTTCTTTAAAGTAAACATTAGTAGCTAAACTCACCTGGTGAATAATAGTCATACACTTTGATGGCAACAGGCTGAATTTGGCCCACATTATATACCCTCTTGATATCAAATTCTATAACAACATTATTCTGATCTGTTATCTACAAAGAAATAAATAAGACCAGTGACAATAATATAGACTGAGATAATAAAGCTAACTTTTTCTTCTTTTATACATAAATACAGTGTATCACCCGTTCTCTTATGAATGATACAATCCAATAACAAAATAAAAAATAAACATGTATTACCTCATCAACGTAAAATATAATGGACCTTTTATTGACTTCATATCTCTGGACTGGAGAAACTACATCATTTGTCAACTGTATATAAAAAAATCAGAAACATCATTAATGTGAAAAGTAAGATTAAAAAACATGAAACACTGAGTCCATTTAATAATTACAACTATTATAATATATTTTCCAAATACTATATTTTGGTTTCAAAGCAAAAAAAAACGTATATACAGTATCCTTAATGAACACTCATATGATGTGGACCAAAAAAAAAAAAAAATTTACTGTAAAATACTTTATTATTGCTTGGAATTAATTTTCGCTATTTTCTCTGGAGGAATGATTCAGTGAAAATAAAATCCAATGAATATACCTTTTATCCTATATATCACATTCAACTCATCAAAAATCAGAGAAATTAAATTCCATACAAAACGCCCCAAAATGTCTTTTCAGCAAAAATTAATTCCAGCTAAAATAAAGGATTTTACAGTAATCAATCTGATACTAGAAAATTCAGCCCTGAAGTTTTATCAAGTGTAATCAAGTCACACACCATAGTCAAACTCAAAACTTATGGTAATACACATGTAGTAACAAAAAAGTTGGACTGAGGAATAAATATTCTGTATTACCAGTAACGGGCTAACAACAAGTTGGGTAGGCATGCAGGGATTTTATTTTATTTTTTTTCTCGCAGACTACTACAGGTTATACATGTAATCATGCATTTAGTCATAGACCCTACTTTTTTTTCATCTGTGAACGAACACCAACGTTATTATCATCGTTGATTTTCTTGATCTTTCATGCCTCATTTTTCGTCAATGTTCTTTAAAAACCAGAATAAAAGCAGTAGCCGGAAGATGTGGAGGAAACTTCCAGTTCCCTGAATCATACAGCAGCTCATTGGGTTCATTAGAAATAAAATAACCAAGAGGCGAGATTCAAGCACTGTGCCGAGAATATGAATAATCATAGCTATTATCAGCCAGACAGTGTTGCTGGGATGCCTTTGAACATTCAATATACACAGCAATCAGATGAACAACAAGATTATGAGTGCTATCACAGCATAAACATGAGGTAGGAGATGTCAACCAAAATGTAGGCAAGTAGAGCCATTATTAAAACACAATTATTTCTTTTGTCTTAATAATGAGGAGTTCCTTCAATTGTTCTTTCAACAAAGAAGACAAACCAAATATTAAAATTGAATTTTATATAGATAGGATAAACGATTACCTTTTCCAACCCTTTTTTGATTGGTTCAAATCCTGAGAATAGTCCTACATCAACAATTGCCATTCCTGTACCTCCAGGTTTTTTGAATCTGAAAAAAAGAAATAACACTAGATTACACTACATGTACTTTTAGGCACTTTTATGTAAATGTGCGATCTTGAAAACTGTCTACCAGTTGTCAATTTTGCTGGGCAGCAGCTCAAATTTCACTAATTCAAGTTTATGCATAAATTAACACCCAGGCTAGTTTGTCAAAATTTGCAAAATAAACTGCATCTCTATCTTAAATAGCTATAGGAATAGCTATTAAAATACAAAACATTCTAGGAAGAGTTGTGTATAATACTAGTATGTGGTTATAGCAAAGAATCTGTGAAATATGCACAAAAACAGTAGAGTGATGACCAATGAACACATAATGTGACTGAATACACTCTGAGTGCATACTTTGCAGTATCCTCTTAGTAATCTTATTGTACATCTTAGAGTCATAGTAATCATATTATCTGAAATTACCTGACAGAAACTGTCATATGAATGATGTAATCGCTATTATCTTGACGTGCTGCAGCTCTTTGCACTCTATCAACATCCCTACCAACTCTTGATCTATCTATTACATCCAGATCAATCCTTTCATTTTCATGTTCTACTGGTACTTCATCAATGCGACCCAGACGTGGTTCTGCTGCTATTACAGTAATGTTGAATGAACATGTTTCTGCATAGGTGGCTTGGGAGTTATACCTGACTTCAACTTGAAGATTGCCAATGCCTGACCCAGTAGTGTCAACGTACAGTTTGCCATCAGTAGGTGCCTATATAGATGCAATTTTAACAGTGTAGTTGAGGTTTACATGATCGAATCATGTGTATGATTAGCTAAAAGTGTACATACCAAAAACATAGAAATCTGCAGATATCATCACAAAATGAATGAATCTGAATGTAGTCACCCCAAGCACCTACCAAGGTACTGTAAAAGGATTAATTATTCACTGGGTTTTAATTTTGCTTATTTCGCTGACTGGAAAATGCATTAAATTAAAACACAGTGAATATGTAAAATTTAGCATAGAACACATTATCTAAATGATAAAACCGTGAATTTAAAACCCACTGAATATGCCTGAAATGGTAAATCAGCGAAATTTAAACCCAGTGAAAATTAGTAATTTTACAGTACACACCAAATATGGAAACAATCTCAATGCATGTGGAACCACCATACCACAGACTCCAATCATAACAAATTTTACAAGAAACTTTGTTGTGTCAACAGTACATATGTATATGAGCATATAATGTGACTATAATAAACAAATTTGTAAATTCTCATGTCACCCAATTTTTCTGTATTTTTCAACAGGATAAAGGATAAATTGCTAGTGAAAATGACAACAAATAGTGACTGCAAAGAGGAAACATTCTGATTCAGAAATGATGACGCCCACATGACATAAGTCATAAGATATAGCAATGTACCTCTCTAATGTGCTGCATTGTAGCGCCTTCATCATTTAACAAGATAACTTCACGGTAGCCTGGATCAGCTTCTGATGTTACTTCACATTCCATGTCTAAATCTGAAGATCTTCCAGCCTCGGATGCATATGAAACCAGGGCTTGCAATGCAATAACTGTGTCCTGTAATAATAGGGATTAACGAATTGTAGTGATTGTTGGAAAGAAAGGCACCCTGGTAACCACTTCCGACACACACATAGCTTAAGACATTATGCCATTCAAAAATCAGGCATATGTACCGGTAGTACCACAAGAAAGTCTAAGGTAGATTAGCTTACAAGAAATGTTAATGACATATTAGCACTGTAATTATTGATGTGTCTATACACCATACACCATCACAGAGAAGCCTTGTCAATCAGTAGTGAGTCTTACACATGAGTATACATAAACATGTCATCCTATTAAAGCCCTGTCAACCGGTGATGTTTCAACTCTGAACTTACTTGTGTAGAAACAAATCCTCCTTGTGCATTTCTTTGCGATGTCAACCAAACAACAATAGCATTGCTATACGTAATATCGCCAAGCTCCACTTGCGCCAGTAAAGCATACCCAGTTGTTTCAACCCCAATTGCTGATGGATTGCGAGTATACCAGTACGGCTTATTTCCATCACCAAAACTAGCTGCATCTGTTGTCCAGTGTCGGGAATTGGTTGCTGTGAGAAAACATAGTTTGATTATTTCAGCTTTATCAAAAAATGTATCTTGAAGTTTCTCAAAACTTAATGTTGTGACATATTTTTTAAAGGAATTTTTGAATAGGATTGAAAGTTGTCCTGAAAGTGCAGTTTGATTTTTAACACTTATTACTTACCTTCATCATATGTAGACATTGCCCTTAATTTTTCATTTGCTTCATGTTTTTTCTCACTGTTAGCCAATGCCAATGCATATGTTATTATAGCTACAGCATATGGTCTGTCAGCAACATCAATTGCTCTCTCTAGATATAAAACTGAGTTCAAAATTGCTGTGCTCATCTCCTGTCAATGCAAGTATAATTAACAATAAGACCCTGTGAGCCTTTACTCTACTTCTTAACTTATTTTCACTGCAAGCAATTGGGTATGTATTTTTGCACGATTCTTAATACTTTAAACCCTTACTTTCATAAAAATAGCAAATAATCCATGAAGATTAACAAAGTAATCAAGAAAAGTGTACTACTTGTCAGTTATTACTTACCGCAGTGTTGCAATCACATTCTAACAAAGAAATCAAAACATAGGCTGTAAAGGTAGCATCAGCATGCACTCCACCCTTTAAAATAAATCAGAATAAATTTATAAAATTGCGTGCATTGTTTATATCTTCACTGCCAGTCACCACCAGTATTTAAATATCCATCAATAAATTAAATGCTAACAAATAGTGTAGTTATTCATTATATTAATAACAATTCAGATTGTGAGATAATATAAATGGAAGCAACAGTGAAAACAAGAATCAAAGAAAGCCTTGAAAGAACTCCTATGTGCTGTGAGTTATCATTCGAACCCAAACATGTTTATGTTAGAAATATTACGTCATTGTTATATTTAGATACAATATATCAGCCAATTCAGTCAATCGCCCAGTTTCAGTGTGTGATGTAGAATATAACAGCCAAGTGAAAATCTGTATCGTGGAATTTTTCAGGAATGGATGATGAAAAAACTATATAAAATTATGAATAATTTAGTCCCCTAGTACTGTGCATAGTACTAGTAAGCATTTTTTACATTGCTATTTTATATCTTCAAGAATTGCGCATATGCAATAATCAGATGATGTTGCTATACTTGAGTGACCTGATAGATGGATTGAAGCATCTTGAGTAGACTTTACAAATTATAGTGACAACATTTGAAGAAAATCAAACAACACATGCCCATGGCGGGTTTTGGTCAAAATACCTATTTTCAATTTATTTTTACTTTGTCTTTGATCAGATAACAGCATTATTGTTGTGTGCCATGATGGACAATCTAGGTATAAAGTTTGAAGAGAACTAATCAAAGCATGTGTGCGATACATAACTGTCAGGAATAGAATTTGTCAAAAACAAAATGTTAACCAGTTGGCCAGAACAAGAAGGCACCAAACAAAATCCAGAACCTGATTTATAAAGGCGCAGTCACACCATGACATTCTGGCTAGCGTTCTCTGGCGTTTGAGGAAACGTTGGTAGTCGCCCAAAGTCGCTGGGACAGCGCCAGAAGAGCGCCGTGAGAACGCTAGTGAACGTCGGTAATCGTTGCTGATCGTCAGGAATCGGCGGAGAATGCTGATCCAAAAAATGCACAAAAGTTCTCATTTGAGACCAGCGTTCTTTATCATTTATTTTTAAACGTTGTTAAACGGTAAATAACGTTCTTCAATTGTTTTGCTAACGTTCGTCGCGTTCGACAATCGTTAGTCAGTCGTTGCTCTAGCGTTACTTAGCTGTTACCAATCGCTCGCTTTGCAGTGAACAACTCACTAGCGACCTGTCAACGATCGCTGAACATACCCCTAGCGCACATAAAGCGTGCAACTAACGTCAAATTAACGACCTAACGTTAGATACACGCTCAACACGCTCACTTAACGTTTAAAAGTCGTTCATCACACGCTAGTGACACGTTAGCACACGTCAATGATTTCCAGGGGTATCTTACTTGGTCGCTCATTACACGCTCCTCGTGCGTTAGGAACACGCTAGTCATACGTTAGGGGCACTCGTTAATTGAACGCTGGATGTGTCTACCTCGTTCCAGAACGCTCGGAAATTGGACGATTGGAACGTTCAGAGAACTCTGACCAAAACGTTATGGTGTGCGGGGCTATAAAGTGTTAACAGTGAAAAAATCAAAAACATAGCATGTATGATCAAAGAATGGCCAATTCTGTGAAAAAAACATTTATTTTAGAGTTCACAGAAACTTCTACGCAGATATTGACAAGTAAAGTACAAGGTCATATTCGCCTTTTTTTTAGTTTTCTGAAACATATATTCTGTCATAGTTATATGCTTAGTAACTGCTGGAGAATGTCCTAAACACAAATAAATTAATTATTACTCATTTGTCCCCTCTAACAATCTCAGTTAAAATTCTTTTGAAGCGGGCATGTAACATATGTCAATACATGAAAAGTTGCCAATCAATTTATAGATTTTAGTATTTACTTTTGATCTGGATTTGGAGAAACAAAATGCTATTGAAACCATGACCAATGTCATGCAGGTGAAAGATGTAATAACTTGGCCTCCAGAGGACATACCACCACTTATTCAGCCCCTTTTAGTTTACTGTAGGAATATTAAATTATTTTTTTTCTCACAAACTTTTAATATAATAACAAATATAATACAACTTACAGTCATTTCTTTGTGGTACACCAAAAAATTTTCTCTGATAGATCCATCATCATTTTGCATCGTTAACAGCCAATTGGTTGCTCCACAAATAACTTTTGGATCAACTACTACAAATTCACTTGCTTGGCAGAAAATCTTCATTGCAAATGCTGTCAACCTGAAATGAATGAAAGTAAATTTATAGCCATCAAGGACACAGGCAAAAGATCAAATCGTCACATAAATTCAATGATGTATAGTACTGATAAGTTTGTGTAGAGATACATACCATGTGCTGCAGGGTTTATGGGTCCACACTGAAAAGCATCCCGGATTATTCTTATAATAAGTGAGCTCACGAGCATAACCTATAAAACAAATATCACATTAATCATGAAGATATGAAGGCAAGTCTTCCAAGTTAACCTACAATTATGAGACTTGTAATTGGGGGCAATCTACCTGAACTTCATCATGTTATGTACTGATCATTGTTTTATCTTCTATGCATTCTTTTGATGGTCGTGCATGTGCTCATTTGCATAACCTTTGTTTTAGTTTGCATCTCATTTGCATTTCCATGTACATCACATTCGTTCAAATCATGTTCATGATATTTTGAATCATCTAATCTTTGCCTTTGCTTGATGTGATACAGATACATGCAGTTACAAGTTTTTCACCTATCCAACCTATTTTGTTTCCATAAACCATTTCATATTGTATTCATATTTTTCATGCTGCACAAACTTCAATAAACAGTCATGTAAATATCTACCAAAATATCAAGCTATCAAAATATCTATTACAATAAACAAAGTCACAAAGTGTTTGTCACTACTGGGATAAGAAATATACACATTCATAGCTTTGCACAAGTATCAAATGTATTGTTCCTGTATGTTTCTAAAGAAATGATTGTCTTAAGTCAGGCTTCTGAAATACAGCTTGAAGAGCAATTAATTTAAAGCCAGCATATCAACTTACAAGCAGCAAAGCATGTGACTTGCCATGTATTTAGGTAATCATTTATAAAAATAGTACTAGCAGAAATCAGTGTTCTCCCCAGAAATTTTTCATAGAGTCGTGGCTAATTTGCATAATAATTAGCATATAATTAGCATAAATTAGCATATTGTTTGTCATATGGACAAATAAAACAAAACCAGTTTTTTTCCTTTTTTTCTATTTATTTTATGTACAATCTGTATACAATTATTGCACTGCATGTTTAGTATTGCAAATGTCCTGCAGAAATACTGAGTTTTCTGTTCCTTTGCTTGGCCCAGCAATCAGCAACTATATAAAACCCTGTTCGGTAAATTAAACATGGGGTTGATTATTCTCATTGCTTGTCTTCCGTTTCTGTTGTTTTCCGGTTAAGTACAACAACTGTTACGAGTCACGATACTTACGCTACTATGTTCGAGCAATAATAGTTTTTCTGGCAGAAATTATCCATCTTTATGTATTTTTTTTAATCATCGATGTTGTCTGTTCAACACAATTGTGAAAAATTCGAGACAACGGAGGTCTGAATTACGAATTGTCGCCATTGTTATACCACGTAAAATTGAGGCTTTTCTTCCAAGAAATAACACAAGTGTCA